GATTATACGCTGCCACTGCTTTCCGTATTGCCGTGTCTGGTTCTAGCCGTTTTTCCACCTGGTATACTCTTAGATGTTCACTGAGAGTACTCTGCAGTCTCTCTATACTCCCCTGCTCTTGGGGTGTCCTGAAGTGTTGAGATGGCACTTCACACCTAAGTTCTTCATTTCAGCTCTGATCTCGGCATTGACGAATTCCCTACCCCCGTCGGACGTTATGCGGTCGGGCACTCCATAAAACTGGAACCACGTCTGAAGTGCTCCTAATACTGTTTCTGCTGAACGATTCTGCACCAGGTACGCCAACGCTGCTTTGCTAAACAGGTCTATCAGCGTGACCCAGTTATACTCTCTCCACGTGAACGTACCCACTTGCAAGTCGCTCAGCGCTGCATCAACTGTGGGTGTCTCCCACAAATAATTATCTGTCTAAAGGTCGTCGAATAAGAATAACAAATAAATATTTATCTATTATTTGTAATATAGATACATCATCAAATAATCTATTCGAACAACGCCCAACACTGTGCCAGGCATTTAAATATATATACATTCTTACAGAGAATCATAGATTTATTTGGAAAACACCCACAAGAATAAATTATATTGTTAACGGCTATTGCAATTAATGAACTTTTACTTACCGTATATTTTGGTGGTCGCGGTGTAACATCGTTTACAGGTAGACACTTTTGGTTTTGTAGTGGTAGAAGAATTTGTAGGATGTGTTTTACCATTTTTGGACAAAAGTCCAAAAAAATGTCGATGTTGTTTTCCTGAAATTATGTAAGATATGTATAATCTCAAAAAAGATTTATACGTAATTAAAAATAATATAATATTATATAAGTAATAAAGAGCAGTTGGATGGATCAGTCTAGATCCCTAAATCCTGGTCTTTCTTGGACATAGGAAGAATAGGACCCAAATGTCTTCCCCTGAAGCATTGCGTACATGACCTTCACCTACTGGTTGGATTTTCGGGTTGGATTACGGGTTGGATTTGGAGGTAAAGAACTCACTAGAGTTATTTACCTTTTTTAATTAAACGTGGAAAGTTGCTTAAACAATTTATGTCGAACAGACACGATTATATATATATTTGTTAGCCATATTATCAATGTTTTGGCGTACGTAAAGGATAAACATTGCCTTGTAGGTTATGAGGATTTTTGATAAAAATCTTATATTCCAGTTCTTATACATTCGTATATCGCCTTTTGATTCGTTTTTTAAAAAAAGTATATGTTATATCAATTCTCGTGCTTTCGTTGCGTATTTGAGGTGCTAGGGTATTAAATATGTATGTATTCTTAAAGAGAATCATAGTTTCATTTGGAAAAGACCCATAAGAATAAATTATATTGTTTAACGGCTATTGCAATTAGTGAATTTTTACTTACTACTTTTTTTGGTCGTCACGGAATAACATCGTTTACAGGTAGATACTTTTGGTTTTGTTGTGGTAGAAGAATTTGTAGGATGTGTATTACCATTTTTGGACAAGAGTCCAAAAAAATGTCGATGTGGTTTTCCTGAAATTAGGTTAGATATGTATAATCTCGAAAAAGATTTATACTTAATTAAAAATACTATAATATTATATAAGTAATAAAGAGCAGTGGGATAAATCAGTCTAGATTCCTAAATCCTGGTCTTTCTTGGACAGTAGGAAGAATATGATCCAAATGTCTGTCCCTGAAGCCTTGCGTACATGACCTTGACCTACGGGTTGGATTTTGCCTAAGTAGAACTCACTGGAGTTGTTTACCTTTTTTAATTGAATATGGAAAGTTGCTTAAACAATTTATGTCGAACAGACACGATTATATATATATATATATTTGTTTGATATATTAGCGATGTTTTGGCATACGTAAAGGAGAGACATTGCCTTGTAGGATATGAGGATTATTGGTAAAATCTTCTATTCCAGTTCTTATACATTCGTATATCGCCCATTGATATCTTATATCAATTCTCGTGCTTTCGTTGCGTATTTGAAGTGCTAGGGTATTAAATATATATGTATTCTTAAAGAGAATCATAGTTTCATTTGGAAAAGACCCATAAGAATAAATTATATTGTTTAACGGCTATTGCAATTAGTGAATTTTTACTTACTACTTTTTTTGGTCGTCACGGAATAACATCGTTTACAGGTAGATACTTTTGGTTTTGTTGTGGTAGAAGAATTTGTAGGATGTGTATTACCATTTTTGGACAAGAGTCCAAAAAAATGTCGATGTTGTTTTCCTGAAATTAGGTTAGATATGTATAATCTCGAAAAAGATTTATACTTAATTAAAAATACTATAATATTATATAAGTAATAAAGAGCAGTGGGATAAATCAGTCTAGATCCCTAAATCCTGGTCTTTCTTGGACAGTAGGAAGAATATGATCCAAATGTCTGTCCCTGAAGCCTTGCGTACATGACCTTGACCTACGGGTTGGATTTTGCCTAAGTAGAACTCACTGGAGTTGTTTACCTTTTTTAATTAAATATGGAAAGTTGCTTAAACAATTTATGTCGAACAGACACGATTATATATATATATTTGTTTGATATATTAGCGATGTTTTGGCATACGTAAAGGAGAGACATTGCCTTGTAGGATATGAGGATTATTGGTAAAATCTTCTATTCCAGTTCTTATACATTCGTATATCGCCTTTTGATTCGTTTTTTAAAAAAAGTATATGTTATATCAATTCTCGTGCTTTCGTTGCGTATTTGAGGTGCTAGGGTATTAAATATGTATGTATTCTTAAAGAGAATCATAGTTTCATTTGGAAAAGACCCATAAGAATAAATTATATTGTTTAACGGCTATTGCAATTAGTGAATTTTTACTTACTACTTTTTTTGGTCGTCACGGAATAACATCGTTTACAGGTAGATACTTTTGGTTTTGTTGTGGTAGAAGAATTTGTAGGATGTGTATTACCATTTTTGGACAAGAGTCCAAAAAAATGTCGATGTTGTTTTCCTGAAATTAGGTTAGATATGTATAATCTCGAAAAAGATTTATACTTAATTAAAAATACTATAATATTATATAAGTAATAAAGAGCAGTGGGATAAATCAGTCTAGATCCCTAAATCCTGGTCTTTCTTGGACAGTAGGAAGAATATGATCCAAATGTCTGTCCCTGAAGCCTTGCGTACATGACCTTGACCTACGGGTTGGATTTTGCCTAAGTAGAACTCACTGGAGTTGTTTACCTTTTTTAATTGAATATGGAAAGTTGCTTAAACAATTTATGTCGAACAGACACGATTATATATATATATTTGTTTGATATATTAGCGATGTTTTGGCATACGTAAAGGTGAGACATTGCCTTGTAGGATATGAGGATTATTGGTAAAATCTTCTATTCCAGTTCTTATACATTCGTATATCGCCCATTGATATCTTATATCAATTCTCGTGCTTTCGTTGCGTATTTGAAGTGCTAGGGTATTAAATATATATGTATTCTTAAAGAGAATCATAGTTTCATTTGGAAAAGACCCATAAGAATAAATTATATTGTTTAACGGCTATTGCAATTAGTGAATTTTTACTTACTACTTTTTTTGTTCGTCACGGAATAACATCGTTTACAGGTAGATACTTTTGGTTTTGTTGTGGTAGAAGAATTTGTAGGATGTGTATTACCATTTTTGGACAAGAGTCCAAAAAAATGTCGATGTTGTTTTCCTGAAATTAGGTTAGATATGTATAATCTCGAAAAAGATTTATACTTAATTAAAAATACTATAATATTATATAAGTAATAAAGAGCAGTGGGATAAATCAGTCTAGATCCCTAAATCCTGGTCTTTCTTGGACAGTAGGAAGAATATGATCCAAATGTCTGTCCCTGAAGCCTTGCGTACATGACCTTGACCTACGGGTTGGATTTTGCCTAAGTAGAACTCACTGGAGTTGTTTACCTTTTTTAATTAAATATGGAAAGTTGCTTAAACAATTTATGTCGAACAGACACGATTATATATATATATTTGTTTGATATATTAGCGATGTTTTGGCATACGTAAAGGAGAGACATTGCCTTGTAGGATATGAGGATTATTGGTAAAATCTTCTATTCCAGTTCTTATACATTCGTATATCGCCTTTGATTCGTTTTTTAAAAAAGTATATGTTATATCAATTCTCGTGCTTTCGTTGCGTATTTGAGGTGCTAGGGTATTAAATATGTATGTATTCTTAAAGAGAATCATAGTTTCATTTGGAAAAGACCCATAAGAATAAATTATATTGTTTAACGGCTATTGCAATTAGTGAATTTTTACTTACTACTTTTTTTGGTCGTCACGGAATAACATCGTTTACAGGTAGATACTTTTGGTTTTGTTGTGGTAGAAGAATTTGTAGGATGTGTATTACCATTTTTGGACAAGAGTCCAAAAAAATGTCGATGTTGTTTTCCTGAAATTAGGTTAGATATGTATAATCTCGAAAAAGATTTATACTTAATTAAAAATACTATAATATTATATAAGTAATAAAGAGCAGTGGGATAAATCAGTCTAGATCCCTAAATCCTGGTCTTTCTTGGACAGTAGGAAGAATATGATCCAAATGTCTGTCCCTGAAGCCTTGCGTACATGACCTTGACCTACGGGTTGGATTTTGCCTAAGTAGAACTCACTGGAGTTGTTTACCTTTTTTAATTGAATATGGAAAGTTGCTTAAACAATTTATGTCGAACAGACACGATTATATATATATATATTTGTTTGATATATTAGCGATGTTTTGGCATACGTAAAGGAGAGACATTGCCTTGTAGGATATGAGGATTATTGGTAAAATCTTCTATTCCAGTTCTTATACATTCGTATATCGCCCATTGATATCTTATATCAATTCTCGTGCTTTCGTTGCGTATTTGAAGTGCTAGGGTATTAAATATATATGTATTCTTAAAGAGAATCATAGTTTCATTTGGAAAAGACCCATAAGAATAAATTATATTGTTTAACGGCTATTGCAATTAGTGAATTTTTACTTACTACTTTTTTTGGTCGTCACGGAATAACATCGTTTACAGGTAGATACTTTTGGTTTTGTTGTGGTAGAAGAATTTGTAGGATGTGTATTACCATTTTTGGACAAGAGTCCAAAAAAATGTCGATGTTGTTTTCCTGAAATTAGGTTAGATATGTATAATCTCGAAAAAGATTTATACATAATTAAAAATACTATAATATTATATAAGTAATAAAGAGCAGTGGGATAAATCAGTCTAGATCCCTAAATCCTGGTCTTTCTTGGACAGTAGGAAGAATATGATCCAAATGTATGTCCCTGAAGCCTTGCGTACATGACCTTGACCTCCGGGTTGGATTTTGCCTAAGTAGAACTCACTGGAGTTGTTTACCTTTTTTAATTAAATATGGAAAGTTGCTTAAACAATTTATGTCGAACAGACACGATTATATATATATTTGTTTGATATATTAGCGATGTTTTGGCATACGTAAAGGAGAGACATTGCCTTGTAGGATATGAGGATTATTGGTAAAATCTTCTATTCCAGTTCTTATACATTCGTATATCGCCCATTGATATCTTATATCAATTCTCGTGCTTTCGTTGCGTATTTGAGGTTCTAGGGTATTAAATATATATGTATTCTTAAAGAGAATCATAGTTTCATTTGGAAAAGACCCATAAGAATAAATTATATTGTTTAACGGCTATTGCAATTAGTGAATTTTTACTTACTACTTTTTTTGGTCGTCACGGAATAACATCGTTTACAGGTAGATACTTTTGGTTTTGTTGTGGTAGAAGAATTTTTAGGATGTGTATTACCATTTTTGGACATGAGTCCAAAAAAATGTCGGTGTTGTTTTCCTGAAATTATGTTAGATATGTATAATCTCGAAAAAGATTTATACGTAATTGAAAATAATACAATATTATATACGTAATAAAGAGCAGTTGGATCAATTAGTCCAGATCCCTAAATTATGGTCTTTCTTGGACAGCAGGTAGAATAGGGTTCAAATACCTTTCCCTGAAGCCTTGCGTACATGAGCTTGACCGTCGGGTTAGATGTTCCCCAAGTAGAACTCATTAGAGTTATTTACCTTTTATTTATTAATTGTGGGAAGTTATCTGAACAATTTATGTCCAACGGACACGATTATATATGTATTGTTATAATGAAATTCCGTTCCAATTCAGTAGACCCAGATGGCATTCCTATCAAACTAATAAAATTATGTTTCCCTGAAATCCTCCCAGCACTCCTTTTCATCTACAATTTCTCCCTGCAGAATTTAATATTCCCGACCTCTTGGAAAAAAGCCATTGTCCTTCCTTTAAACAAAAAGCCTAATCCATCCTCTCCCGAAGATCTCCGCCCAATATCAATCCTTTCTAATCTTTCTAAACCCCTAGAAATGTTAGTGCAATCCCAAGTTTCCAACTTCCTTGAACAATCCAACCAACTCGATCCTCTCCAATCTGGCTTCCGTCCTGGCTACTCTACACAATCTGCTCTGATTAAAATTACCAGTGATATTTAGACTGCAATAGATGACAAAAAACTAACCATACTTATACTTCTTGATTTCTCCAAAGCTTTCGATTCCATTATCCATTCCATCCTTTTCAACAAATTAAAATCATTATCCTTCTCCAATAGTTCCATCTCTTGGTTTCAGTCTTTTCTCTCACAACGAACCCAAGCAGTTTTCATAACTAATCAACCTCTATCTGCCTACCTTCCTTTATCCTCTGGAGTCGCACAGGGTTCAAGCATGTCTCCTCTTCTTTTCAGCTCTTATATTAATGACCTAAATTATTCAATTATCCATTGTTTCCACTACCTTTATGCCGCCGATTCTCAAATCTATTTATCCTTTTCTCCCGCTGAGTTACTGGTGGCATTTGCCAAAATTCAAGAATATTTAGATGGAATTATAGTGCCTAGGCCAACTTAAATGGATTAAGGCTAAATGCTGCCAAAACTCAGGCCATTTTCATTGGTTCCAAGCCCCTCCTTAGATCCCACACCAACTTTCCCTCACTCTATCTAAACAACCACCCCATCAAATTCTATCCTTTTGTTAAAAATTTAGGCTTTCTCATAGATGAAACCCTTTCCTGGAATCATCATATCTCTCATATATCCCGCCGTGCAATTTCTACCCTCAATCTATTCCATCACTTCCGCCATCTTCTACCCCAAAATACCCGTAGACTCCTAGTTTCCTCTCTCATCTTTCCCCACTTTGACTACAGCTGTGTGGTGTACGATGGCCTCTCGGTGGAACTCCGTGATAGACTCAAAAGACTTATGAATAGCTTCGTAAGATTTGTAATTGGGACCCCGAAACGCTCCCGTGTCTCCCACCACTACACTGAGTTAGGGTGGCTCTTCCCCTCGTTAAGAAGACAATATTTCCTAGGCACTTTCCTTTATCAAATCATTACCGATCATCGTCCTTCTTATGCCTACAACCTTCTCCAATTTAAGTCCTCAATCCATTCCCTCACTACAAGATCCCGAAACTCTGACCTGTACATCCCTTCTCATAGATCTGCCTCATTCCAAATTTCCTTTATAGCCCGCTCTGTCAACTTTTGAAATTCCCTCCCGATCAAAATTCGACATGCCCCTTTCCTATACACATTCAAAAACCTCCTATTCCAATTCCTGTTCCAAAACAGTCAGATACCAGCTAACTATTAATATTATATATGTATTGAGTAGCAATCATATAATCATAATACTTGGTAAGAGATAGCACATGCATTTCCCACTATCGACATAGGAATTTCAATACATACATTTTTTTTTATTCAATTATAATTAACTGTTTATTTTTATATATATATTCAAGTAAAGTTTTTATTTTTTTTTATTTTATGAAATGAACTCATTGTATCTCTTTTTCGTTCTTCATTTCTCAAAGGTATGCTTATGTTGTTCAACCCTTATATATAATTTTGTTCATAGTTCAAGTGATTCTTTCATAGTTTTAATCGTTTTGTTCATAATTTTAAATGCTCTGTGTATAGTCTTATCTGTATTGTATATAGCTTGGCACCTATGGTTTTCTTTACTTTTTATTTTATTTTAACAATTTTATTTATTGTTCCAAACGTTTAGGCCAGTAATATTCTATTATTTTGTACATTATTGTTATTCTGAAGGGACTTAGTCCCAGAATAAAGTTTTTTTTTCTATCTCTCTATTGTTTTGCCATTTTAGCAATGTTTTGGCGTACGTAAAGGAGGAAATAGTCTGATAGGTTATTTGGATTTTTGTAAAAATCTTCTATTTCCGGGCTTAACACATTTTTATTTCGCCTATTGATTCGTTGTTTTCTTGTTTTTTTTTTCTAAAAAAATAGATCTTATATTAATTCTATCAAATACCAAAGATCTCACCACTTTACTTACATCTTTCCTCTCCGAATTCAGATCTCTCGTTACTCCTTTGATATCCCTTCTAATGAATATTGTATCACATTTTATTGCTCCCCCCAAAAACCCTTAAATAACTTTCAATAAACCTATATCCATTCTCCTTTGGAATGCGAATGGTGTTAGAAATCATACAGAGGAACTATCTGCTTTATTACTTCACAAAAACATTGGCATGGCACTAATTACAGAAACTCGACCAACCACTAAACAGCTCTTCAAAATACCACAATACTTGACATATCGTACTGACCATCCTGACGGTAAGGCACATGCCGGTACTGTTGTCCTTGTACACCAATCCCTTCCTCCATCACCTACTTCTATTACCTACCCTAGATTTCCGTCAATCCACCGCTATCGTAATCAAAACCTTCTCCTTTCCAGTTATTCTTGCATCAGCTTACTGCCCTCCTCATCATCATCATATGTGGCACAACATCCCGTTACCGAGACTGGGCCTCCTCCAAGAGCCTCCGCCAGTTGGCTCTGTCTTCTGCTGCAGCTCTCCAGTTCCGTACACCAAGCAGGGTTCTCGCATCATAGGCCACGTTGTCCAACCATCTCGTCCTCGGCCTTCCTACCCGTCTTACGAGGTGCAGCTCCTCCATCATTATTTTTTTTGGTATTTCAATGGTGCTCATTCTGGCCACATGCCCTACCCACCTTAGTCTGGCCAGTTTAATATACGTGACTACGTCGGTGTCTGCATAGAGAGAACTGAGCTCCCTATTTTTTCTTTTCCTCCAGACATCACCCTCCTTTACTGGACCATAAATCCTTCTGAGGAGTCCTCGCTCAAACACATTCAGCTTCATCTCATCCTTTTTAGTCATCGTCCAAGCCTCGGAGCCATTTGTCAAAACAGGCCGAACAAGGGTCTTGTATATGATCAGCTTGGTCTTCTTTGAGAGGTACCTACTTCTTAAGTGTCAGCCAAGTCCAAAGACACATCTATTGGCAGCCGTGATCCTTCTTTGTATTTCTTGAGCCATGTCATTTTTGCTATTAATTTCAGACCCAAGGTATATAAAACTTTTCACTCTCTCAAACTTAAAAGAACCTACTTCAAATGGAGAGTTCAGATCCACCTCACCACCAACTCTCATATACTTAGTTTTCCTCTCGTTGACTTCTAGAGCAAGTGGTCTTGCAGCTGCTTCAAGGCCTATAAACGCTTCTCTGAGAGCCCGTTCAGACCTACCTATTATGTCAATATCATCAGCAAAACCAAGAAGCTGTGTCAGGAGATTGAAGATTATATCGTTGGTCTGAATACCGGAGTCTCTTACAGCTTTCTCCTCTGCAAAGTTGAACAATAGACAGGCGAGGGCATCCCCTTGCCTAACCCCACTGCTCACTTTAAACTCTTCGGAGTCTTCAGAACCGACGCGTATTCTACATCTCGAGCTGTCCATGGTCATCTTGATTAGGCGTACGAGCTTCTGAGGGATGCTTAGCTCCTCCAAGGCACAGTATAGTTGCGTTCTATCAACGCTGTCGTATGCTGATTTAAAGTCCAGGAATAAATGGTGGGTGACTACCTTACGCTCCATAGTCTTTTCTAGGATCATCCTCAGAGAGAACAGTTGATCAGCCCTCCTAACCGATCCATATCCAATGTCCAGTTCAGTTCTCTCCTCGACTCCTTAGGACACAACTTCATCTTGGGTGCAGACTTAAATGCCAAAAACCAGGAATGGGGTTCAAGAACTACGAATTCTCGTGGCCGAACATTGCTGTCTGCACTCAATCCCCAACGTTTTCACCTCATTTCACCCAACTCTCCTACCTACTTGCCCACAGACCCTAATCGTAATCCTGATATCCTTGATTTCTTTATCCACTGCGTCTTAGGTCCTCTCCATTGTTCCATTACACACCTAAACAGACTTTCCTCTGACCATAGTCCACTAATTCTCAATGTTTCACTAGAACCCGTCCCCAAACCTTCTCCACCGTAATTCATTAGAGGCCCCGTTAACTGAAACCTATTCCTCCAAATCCTTTCCGACAAAATAGATCTTAATATATCACTTAAATCTCCAGACGACCTAGACAATACTGCCTATTTCTTTACTACCTCAATCCAACAAGCCACCTAGAATGTCTCCTGCTCAAGTAACTCCCCAAGAAATCCTAAGCAAAACAACTTACCTCAATACCTTTTAGATCTCATCCATATGAAACGATGTGCTAGATCAGTATGGCAATATACCAAACATCCCGCTGATCGCCGTTCCTATAATTACCACTGCGAGAATTAGCATTTTATAGATCCGAATCCTTTAATTCCTACCTTTCCTCCCTCTCTGTTCATGACAATTCCTTTTGGAAAAGCACTAAGACAATCCTAAAACCTCACCTAATTTTCCATACCCTTTCCGCTAGATGATGGCTCCTGGGCAGCATCTGAAGA